AAATCAATATTAAAGTTTATAATAAATCAAGACAAAATATCTACTTAAACAATACAGGCTTGTTTACCATAAACACCCCACAGTCACATGAATTTATCTAATAACACAATTAATAATGTATTAAAAGTATTACATTCACATAATATTACATGCAACAGTTAAGCTGTTTCTTTGTACATCTGGTGTAAAACAAATCCCCACATGTAGTCATGGATAATCAAATATAGACTAAGAATCATTAATCTGGTCGACCGAGTAATGGTATAAAAACACTTCACCATGAAGCGTTAAGTATGAACAGATATTCCAAACCAACATTGTAATAGTGTAATAAATACAAATATTTCATCATCATCATCGTCTCAACCATCACCAACCCACGACTGAACACAGGCAATTTCCACCGACTGACACAAGGAACGGCCCCACAATACACATAAAACAGTCACTCCAAACAATGGAGGTAGCCCACACCGCACTTCCATTTACAGGGTCGCCACTCAATAACCCCTCTCTCTCATCAATGGCTGTTTCCCCAGCAATGAGACCAGACCATAGTCACTTTAGTCTATTATCCTCAATAAATAAATACTTTATAATAACTAGATATGAAACTAGTTAGTATTGTAATAGTTCAATAGTTGATTCAATAAGTATTTTCCAAAACTGGACAATTAGAACATTGAATCAAATTGATGAAGTTCTATCAAACGACCATATAATTGGATTTTGTATATGAGTAGAATAACGTAAGTACGTAAATTATATTGATGTAAACTTTGTTCAAATGTGATTGCATTTAACAATATACGCATTACCTAAAGGTATATGGACTCGACTAAATACGTATTTTAATAGTTGTTGGGAAAAATATTAAGTATAGACATTGCCTGCGATCACAGTCAAAATCTAACTACGTAGTAATAAATGGAACAAGCTCACCGGATTCTCCAGTCTTCCATTCTCTCCTTTCACACACTTAATCCATAATGATACACTAAGATCTCAAACCCCTTCATCGATCCAGTCCCTCCTAGATCTATATCCCCAGTTATTTTTTTATTATATTGCGCAGTTCCTAAAACACGACCCCCGCGCCATTTTTTTTTTTTTTTTTTTTTCTTTTTTTTATTGCGCAATTCCTAAAAAGCGACTCCCGCGCGCCCGCCGATCTGCCGTCCCTTTTTTTTTTTTTTTTTCTATTCTTTCTCTAATAACGTCATAGATTATGTCACCGAAGAGTAGATATTTCAATAATCAGATTTAGCCTATTATTCGAACTGAACTTTTCTTTAAATTCAATTTAATTATATGTTAACGTATTTTGGTATTTTATATTAAATTGATTATCGAATTTATAAAACTTTAAAGGCTCTCATAAACCTTATTAAACTGTGTTGTATGCATCCTTTTTACACCTGATGATAAAAGGTAAACTATAATTTGGTTATATATAAGATATAATATATTTTTGTTTAATTTATTTAATTTTCTTGTGACATCCACTACACTTTGAAAACACATCAAAGGAGTTTCCCTTCTGTGTCAATATTTCATATATGGTAACGTCTTTTCTGTATACTATTGTGAACCTTGACTTTAAAGTTTGTTTATATTAAATAGCTCAGCTTTCGCAGCGGTCACCCATAGGAACCCCTGTTTCTTTTCTATGTACTTATGGTATTAAACCTATTGTACTATAGGCGAACCGTCACAGCCCATAAAACCTTTCATGCATTGCCATTCTTGAGGACTCAGGTGTTTTGAGGACTAAGGTCTACATAAATCTATCAATACAAATAAAATTGTAAACTAATATTATTAAGAGGGATTTCTTTTTATTTATTAAATTATTTTATATTTTATTTATTAGATGTTATAACAGTTTTTACAACTAAATATTTAAAAGTATCAATACAGACTATATGTAGATAATGAACAAAAGCAAAAAATAAATTTATTGATTTTAAAAATTCTTTTATAATTCTCGAATGCATGTTTTTAGGGAGTAATGAGTTTTGACAGGTATTTTCACGTTAATTATTTTCTAAAAAAATCTTTTGGCGTTCTGATAATATTATTATTGTTAATTAGAGAGAGAGTAAAAAATGAATGCACTCTAATTAACTTAATATAAAAATGAACGCACTCTGATTAACTTAATACAAAAATGAACGCACTCTGATTAACTTAATATAAAAATGAACGCACTCTGATTAACTTAATATAAAAATTAACGCACTCTGATTAACTTAATATAAAAATTAACGCACTCTGATTAACTTAATATAAAAATTAACGCACTCTAATTATCTTAATATAAAAATTAACGCACTCTAATTAACTTAATATAAAAATGAACGCACTCTAATTAACTTAATATAAAAATGAACGCACTCTAATTAACTTAATATAAAAATTAACGCACTCTGATTAACTTAATATAAAAATGAACGCACTCTGATTAACTTAATATAAAAATGAACGCACTCTGATTAACTTAATATAAAAAATGAATGAACACTAATTAACTTAGAATTACATATATTTGTCGTTTGCTGACATAATATTTCTTTAAAAAAATGTTTAGATTCATTGGTAGAACAATTTTTTAAAACAATGCTAATGATTAAACTTCCCTTTGGATAAATTTTCAAATTTATAATTTTAGAAGAACATTGACTTTTGCTCTCTACTTCGTAGGTACACGTGAAGTTCAAGAGCAGGAAAACCAATGTAATAGACCACTATTAGATGGCGTATTCAATAACACAAATCGCATTCAATTTGGTATAGTAGGTTCTTCTTAGTTATAATCCATCATATAAACTTTTTTTTAAATACCTCCCACGTACAAACATAAACTAGTTACAATTTTATTACCGAGCTTATCTTATGCAGTTTTTATATTTCCTTTTTTTTTTAATTAATTAACACGACAAGGTAATACAATGTTTATGTAATTAAGATTGCAAGAGATAGTTAGACAGTACCTCGGGTGCTTTGTTTTAATATTATCTTTTCTGTGCATTATTTATTATTTGATTTAATACGTTCTAATTTATTATCGCATCGCTTTGTTTAAATCATATTATATTGGGAACAGTACTTTATATTATTCTCAATTTCGTGTATAATATAGTATATGTCATATATGTGTAAGTATATTTGTTATTTATATATATATTTATTCGTTTATATATATAATTTCAGTATATATGTATTGTATATCAATAATTACTAGTACCGCATTCGAGTATTCAGACACTTCCCTATGGTTGACTGGGAGAGAATGCTTTTAGCATTAAGTCCACCATGTACACATATATGTACTAATGATTAAATAAATAAATATTCTTACTTCGATTATACTTTATTTACAATTTACAAACCGACTTTATAAACATATGCCTCTCCTTCGGAGGATTTTGCTAATAGTTGCCATGTTTGACAGGCGAATTGGTAACCGTAGTTAGGATTTAGGATGTTTTAAGAGAAACGCTGCTGCCTAAACTTCGCCCTCCCTTAGTCGCCTTATGACACCCACGAGAAAAGAAGGGGTGGCCCTATTCTATGCCGGGACCACACGGCAAATTATTTCAATAAAGGAGTTAAATTAGGTAAATATGTCAATTGGATGAATGAAAGCCATTTTTGAAGAATATATCGTCATAGTCGTAGAATACTGACGGATCTGATGAATATTACATATAAAGATCCGTCAGTATTCTACGACTATGACGATATGAAATATGAACGTGGATAAATGTAAAGAAAATGTGGGTGGACTGGATAAAAGATGTATTGAGTAAACTGTATTATATAGATTTTGAATAATGAAAACTATGTATGAATAATAAAATAAATTAGATGTATTTAAAGAGTCGTCACTGTTAGAAATTGTCAAACCAAAGAGAAAAAAAAATGTCATAGACAAGATGATGTTACGCATAAAACAAGAGTAAATTCAGGTATCTCTGACAAGTGATAAGAATTAGCGGAGAAGGGAAACACACTGGACCGACCATAAATAAATGGGATAAACCCAAAGCGATTATGAATAATGTAAGTTTAATTCCTTCTTGATAATAAATCTTTCATAGGTTTAAACGTAAATTTATAAATCCATTGTTAACAAAATAACCTCTGATAGATACACAACTCTGTCTTCGATTGTTTCGACCATTTTAATATTGTTATCCGAACGTGTTTCGGCAGGTTTTTCCAATAAATCCAGACTCGTAAATCCGCAAAAAGGATTTGTGTACGCGTGTGGATATTGGTTGGTTTACGTTTGATTTATCAACAATATAATTGAAGATTGAGGATAATTATCTAGAATAGTTAAAATTTTGTTTATATTATGTAACTAGAAATGTTTAAATATTATTTATATTATGGATCTTGAAATGTTTAAATGTTGTTTATATTATGGATCTAGAAATGTTTAAATTTTGTTTATATTATGGATCTAGAAATGTTTAAATGTTGTTTATATTATGGATCTAGAAATGTTTAAATGTTGTTTATATTATGGATCTAGAAATGTTTAAATGTTGTTTATATTATGGATCTAGAAATGTTTAAATTTTGATTATATCATGCATCTAGAAATTTTTAAATGTTGTTTATATTATGGATCTAGAAAGGTTTGAATGTTATTTATATTATTTATATCATAAATAAAATAAATAATATATATAATATATTATTTTATTTTATTTATGCAATTAAATAAAAGTGCTGTGTGATCCAGGAATACAATAGGCCACTTCTTCCTTTCCCGTGGGTGTCGTAAGAGGCTACTAAGGGAACCTAATGATCGAGGGATGGTCATAAAGAACTGTTCCGTTCTGTTTGACAGTGAGATAGGCAATGGGGAGGTCTATGTTCAGCAGTGGACAATTAACGTGTGATATGATGAGTCATCATCATCATCATCATCATATCATCCGTCATATCATGATAAATAATCGTATTATTAAAAAACATGCACTTACCTAAAAACAACACTAGTATCATCGTTTTCTAAATGCACCGCATCAGTCAGGGACCACTGGAGGATGACGCCGTCCCTCCCCTCGAGGGGTCCACTCACAACCCTCGCCGGCAAGAATCTCTTCCTGTACCTGGACCTCCTGAACCCGACGGACCTCTCGTTCCTGCGTCGGAACCGAGGCCTGAAGTAGTATCCATCGTATTCACTCACATCACTGTACACTCCTGTCCTAAAGTCGTAAGGTAAACTATCGTCAAGCCACTTTTTGTGTTTGGAGCGCTCCCCGCGGGGGTGTTTGGGGATGAAGTAGGGGAGGGCGAGTTCGTCGCGACAGGGACGCTCCGCGAAGGTGGTCGGTGTGAAGTTCCCTCGGATGAAGGAGCCCACGATGGAGTAGAGCACGTAATCCTGCAGCGTCTCCTCCTCATATTGAAGGTGCACTGCAAAGAAGGAAAACAAATTTTATTACGACTCTATTATAGTCAGAATTTATAATTTTTGTAACTTTATGAACGAGATTATACTTTGATATTTTTATTAAAATTTGCAATAAAAATAGATATTTACCGGATTCTATTTACGGTAAATTTAAATTTATTATAGTTCATAGTGTGTGTATACCTATGTGGTCTCGTCATAGACTAGGCCACCCCGTCCTTTCCCGTGGGTATCGTAAGTGTCGACTAAGGAAGGGCGAGGGATGGGCAGCAGCGCCCCTTTTAAAACATCTTTAGCACCTAATTTCGTTTGCCAATCCGCTTGCCAAGCGTGGCTACTACTAGAAATACCCCTCAAAGGGGGAGGCTTATGTTCATCAGTGGACGATTAAAGGCTAATATGACTGTAAGTTTAAAGTACAGTTTTATTATGTAAAAATACAATTATTATATAATACAGTAAAAGATTAATTAATACAATAATTAAATATAATTATTAATTATTTTATTAATATTAAGTTAGGTATTTGCTATGAAATTCATTACGCACACTTGTGACACATTGATGAGAAAAATGAGTAAAACATTTTGAGAGTCATGAATAGACATGAAATCCATCTCGAGTCGAAACAGCTGGGCTTGATTATCATACTAATATTATAAATGTGGCAGTTTATAAAGATTTTACCAAGGTGAGACTCAATAAAAGTCGTATGCTTGGATACCTCTGTCTAGAACTAAAAAGTTTAGCGTGTAAAGCAGTTTCATTCAAAATTTTCCTGCTGTGAATAGTCAAGTTATGGGATGACCTTCCTGCCGAGGTTTTCCTTAGAGACTACATAGTATGAGGTTCATCGAAAAGGGTCTAATATGGATCAGTAACCTTCATTTGAATGCGTTTACAGTCAACGATAACCGTTTACCATCCGAGGGTACGTATTTGGCGGGATCTTATTTTTACAAGATGGAATTCCCAGTTTCTAATTTTCATGTATTTTATTAGGAGACACACATTTGTTACAAAGAAGATAAGACACAAGAGAGCTATAGTATAAATAACTTTTTATAATATTCCTTGCCTACCTATTCAATTTACAAGTTATCAATTAATCTAGTACCTCAGTCAAGTCTAACGATGTACCCTCAATGTGTGACACACCATTAGCCTATTTCTCGTGACCTTGATCAGCGATCGCAAAGTAGCCCAGTTCCGGAAAGACTGAATAAAACCGGTAAAAGAGGCGCGCCCCCAAAACGTCCGTTGGAGCGGCCAATATCCGGCCCTCGGTGAAAACAAGACGAGACGGATAGGGGAGGAACTGGGACAATCATAGATATACATTTCAATAGATGTAGCTACTGCATGAACTTTAGGTATAACTTTTTACCACGAGTGAACTTTAAGGGTTAAATATATACCTCTGTAGTAGTCGGCGTGTCACAAGGTTTCGTATTCGACCCCCGATCGAGTCAATTTAGGAGCGAACGTTTCTGAATTGGCACGGATCTGATTGTTCTGAATTGTGTCCCTAAATGTTGGCTGCCTAGAACTTCGTAACGCAGGATATCCGAGAGAAGACTAGGCAATGTATGTGTGGAAATGGTGTGGTACTTATTATATGTCCAAAATATAGCTTCCCAACGAGCCAGTTTCGTAGTCATGAAATGTAGTAATTACAGTTAAAATTAAATTATAAAAGAAACTCCCTAACTTGCCTTATCCCATTTCATTTGAGGTTGATTCTATTCGTCAGTCTTCGCGAAGCCTATTTTGGGTCATCGTTACTTTACTTTTTCTTTCTTTAAGTCGGTGTTTATTAGGGGCCTGGTGTTTATTACTCAAAAGGAGTCGTAAGGGGAAATTAAAAAAAATAATGGTAGAGAGATGGGCAGCTATATATAATATATAAAACATTTCTAAAAGTCTAACTGCAGTTACCAACCTGTCTGCCAAGAGAGGAAACTAGCTAAACTCCCTTATGGGGAAGGCTTATATTTAGCAGTGGACAGCTAATTGCTGAAATGAAATTTGAAGAATTATTTTCTAAAACTTACAATAGTAAACTAATTGTTCACTTCTCTATTTTCATTTAAGAGTTTCCTCTTGTCGGTGCAACTAATTCATGCATCTTCTTCCAGCCAGTTCTATCCCAAGCCGTATCCTTGTTTCATTCATTTCATTGTTATTTCATTCATTGTTTTTTTATTATTATTACTTAATTGACATAAAAATATTAACTGTTGCCTATAGACATATAACGGAATACAATCTGAGACTTTTGACTCAGAATTGCTACGCCTGCATTCTAAGAAATCGTTTTTGCTTTTAAACTGATACACAGTCTTGTAAACACCGCTTCTTGGATTTTATACAAAATCTTCCTCTAACGCCAGAAATATGATTACAGATTGAATTTATGAAAGAGTCTGCCATCGGAAAATGTTTACCATCAATAAATAGCCTTAATAATATCACAGTAAGTACAAGAAATATCACTTAATTTTCATATTGATATTCTTGCACTATCTATTGCTTTCTACGTCTGTGGGAACGACCGACTCTTTGTGAGTTGGACAAAATGTCGTCCGGCATTCTCTGGGGTTTTACTGATGACCTGTCAACATTGTACTACTCAAGGAAAATCGTAGAAATAGAATTTTGATTTATGAATATCGACGGCGGGCGCGCGCGAAGTGAGCGTGAATATTTCATCGTCAGATGTTTGTTTGGCCCGTTTTAATTGATGTTCCGTGTTGTGAATTTATGGGGGGCTTTAAATCAAAATTAATCTTAAACTGTAGTCCTTAAGGTTCTTATTTAACACTTCTCTAATACAGCTTAATTAGTACGAGCGGAAACGTTTCTTAGCATAAAATATATAGGTAGCTATCAGTATCAATGTTGTGACGAAGCTTATTTTATTAATTAATGATAATAATTGCCAATAATAAATAAATAATGATAAGTCCTCCGCCAGTCTTCGAAAGTGACAGCGTCAACCTCTACTGGGACCGATCTATCATCACAGACAGGACAGTTCTTGCGAACAAACCCGATGTCGTGGTGATGGATCGGGTACTCTCGAGAGTGTTTTTGGTGGATGTCACCATACCGCATGACGAGAACCTCGTGAAAACCGAAATCGAAAAGAAGAGGAAATGTTTCAACTTGGCTCACGAGGTGACCGAAATCCATCTATCCAGAGTTAGCCCAACCAGTCTGGAACAACACTTCAGATGGATGGGATTCCGAAGCGGCTCACTACCGAAAAAGATGCAGAAAATGATGTTCTTAGATACTGCCCGGTATAGTAAGCCGGTTTCTTTTCCTGGGACCCTGAATCCCGACCGACTGAGCTTCTGCCGGGGGTTAGTTTACCATATACTCTCCTAAAGAGCGGTGACGTGAATTTGGTTAAAAAAATACCTAATATAAATCGCCTGTCAAGCGTGACAACTACTGGAAAACCCCCCTTTATGGGAGAGGCCTATACTCAACAGGGGACAGTTAATGGACAATTAATTCATCATCATATAATAATGATGAATCACTAGTCTGGTTCTCAAGTTAGGACACACTGTGTTACTACACTGTGTTGCTGCAAGGATCGTGAAGTGTGGAGCAAATTGCGACGACCTACCAATAAACAGCTCTTCTTTTTTTTATATACAAACATATTGTAAATTCATATATGTATTTCATTACTCAAACAAATTTGTTATTATTGCAACCCAGTAAACTTGGAATTACTCAATCTGCAAGGACAAGCCAACACACAAGCCCAAATATATGGTCAACTTCGAGCCTCATCTGCGTATCCTGGATCAGTTGAAATACATGTCGGGTTGGTCATTCCTCTTTCTCCCATCTTCATCTTCATCTGTACTGATACCGTGCTGTACTTTAATACGAAGTTATATAAATTAGTTCGTTTTTCGCTCTACCTACATACCTACTTTATAAGGAATTAGGCCGTGAACATCTTGGGTTACAACCCAGAACACCCAGACCCGAGACAATTTAGAAAATAATTAACCAAGAATCGAACTTGAAACCTCATTACGCCAAGCAATATACTTGCCACAGCATCACACAGGTCGTCATTTACATGAAACGCAAATATTTACAGTGCATGCACACCTTTATGCGTCTTTAAGCATGTTTCTCATATTTAATACATGTATTAGTGAGACAGTTTCTCGTGAGAATTACAAATACCGCCATTTCATGTCTCCATATAGTGTTATGTATTTCCATTTATCTCGCAATAAGATATTACAAGTAGGATGTTATTCTTGAATACGTGATGCCATCACTCGTCGCACTGCCTGCGTAATAACTAATACTTTGCATTACCACTTGTATTGAATCAAGTCTTTTGTTTATAATCTTCTTACATAAATATTCATGAAAATTATACCCATTCCAATAATCATTATGAGATAGAAAATCTTTAGGAGCATGGAAGTTAGTATTCAAATTATCTACAAAGATACCCCCCTCCACAGGTGGTGTTTCTGTCGTGAAACATCCATATTTTTAATGGATGAAAATAGAACGGTAGCCACTGCACTGGCGAGACACCAGTGAGGAATAATAGATGAGAATGAAGCTGGTTAATCGAGCCACATCGTGATGAAAATTTTCCACAGTGGTTTCTAAGGAGAACTGCATGGAAGTCGACCTGTTAGAAATGGGCCTGTTGGAAACAGCAATACTTGCACGACTGTTTCAGCATTTCGGTTTGAAGTGTAAGATACGTCCTCGAACGCTTTCTGTTTTTACCTAATGGTTAGTTGGTAGAGAATCTTATACGACATTAAGCTCACCATTTGTACAAATTTGACTGTGCAATAAAGAATAAATAGATAAATATAGCAGTGAAATTACAAGGTACGTAAACATAACACCATAAACCTCAGAATCGACAACACATGCCATATACCATCCATCACACTGTGTCGTGTTCGTGGAGCACTTCATGCTTATAGACGACGGTTAC